ACGATAGTTAGGAAGAAGAAGGATATCCCAGAAGGGTTGACTTCTAATGAGAAGAGGTTTTTAGCAGAGGTCCTTTGGAGGACATGAAGCATTTTAATTTTCTTTTTTTTCTTTTCATTTTCATGTAAGTGTGCTTGCACATTTTTAGATATACTCTTTTCTTTTATTTTTCCTTTCCCCTTTTGTAGTTTCTAAAATTCAGTTCCTTGAAGGATAATAAGCAGTGACAACCTGCTGGCAATGATGGGTAAGTTAGGAGGGTCTTCACTCAAAACTTAATTCGGAGTGAAATATTGTCCCCAAGGTTGCACTTAGAGGCTGAAGCTCTTTTGAGAATTGAAAGTCATTGACGAGTGTGTCAGTACGAGTCTTTAGTTTAGCCATGATGCAATTGCCCTATGTATCACTATCGGTTTTCTTAATGATTAATAAATACACAGTATTGGCCTGACCACAGGTATTAAAAAAAAAAAAATCAATTTATTATTAATATTAAAAGATTTTAATTTAATCTTAAAAGACTTATTATTCTTATAATAAACTTTAAATAAATATTTGTTTTTGAGTATTTATAGTCTGACTAGATTGAGTTTATTAATTAATTAAAATATAGGTATATTTCACTTAAGCAATATAATATATCCTATAACTAAATATTTATATCAAATTTAAAAGGTTCATTGTAAACAATAATAGATTCTAAGTTTGATCTTAGAAACAATATTTTGCTTAATAATGGTTTTTTAATAAATATCCTTCTAGTTTATTACTTTATTGTTAAAAAGTTATCACTATCATATATTCTATCAAATCACTAAAATATAGAAAACTATAAAAAAATAAATTGAAAAAAAAAGAAGATATTTAAAAATATTCAAACAAACTCAAGAAAATAAAGAAATAAAAAAGAAATAAAATTCTCTAGCTTCTTTAAAAGACCTGTTTTTTAAGATTTCTTTTTAATAAAAAATATCTAATTGAAATATTAATAATAATAAACAAAAAAAGAAAAAAACAATTCAAACTTTTTCAAAAATTCTTATTCAAGTAAATAATTTTTTTTAAAAGAATTTATTTAATTAAGATATTTTTTAGTTTCAGATTATCTAAAAAACTTAGTTATTTCTAAATAATAAAACTTTTTTTTTTTTTTTTTTTTTATTACCCTAGGTTAGGCTAGGTACATGTGCTTTATTAAATATCTGTATACTATACATTTTAAATGATTCGCTAAAGCTAAGACTTTACTTAACTCACTCGTTGCTGTTTTGTCTTAATATATCAAAACTCTAAGTGCAACTTCAGAAGTAAAAATATTTGAAAAACTTTTTTTTTAATCAATATATATATTTATTTATCCTATTATTATATCAATTATATATTGAAAAGGCTTATCTAATTAAAATAAAAAAGTCTTTTCAAAAACTTTGCTAAAAACTTAAAAACCTTGACTTTTTTTAAGAAAAGTTTTTTTATTACCTAATGAACTTATAAAAGACAAGATTTAATATATTATATATTCTTTACTTATTTTTTGATATTCTAAATCTTTCTTAAAAACTTATTTAGATGAAGAAAACTTCTTATAGATTTTTATTTTCTATTATCAAATTAAAAAGCTAAGAATTATATTAATTATTTTAAAATTTAATAAATATCATTGATTATATTACAATAGCAATTTTTAATAAATATAAATAATATTCTTATAAACAAGATAATATTTATAATTTTGTTTAGTAACATATTTTTATTATAAGAAAATCTAATGACCTAAGAATTTATCGTTCTATATACTATATATCTTAAAATATAATATCTATATTTGTATTTTTTTAGAAAAGAAAACAATAAATATTTCAACCTTTTCTGCTTCAGTTTATATATAGTACATATAGTTCACATCACTTCAGAGTTACACAATTGTATATCATATTTACAAGTCGTGAATATAAAGATTTATGTAAAATTCAAGTTAATATCAACATCAACATTTTCAATTAAATGAAAGAATATTCCATAAATAAAAATAAACACAGTTTTATATATAAAGCTTAAAAACAAAGACTATATTTCTTGAATAAAACAAATTATTTCTAATTTAAAATTTAAAATCTTTAAATTTAAATATTAAAAAAATAATCTTTGTTAATACTTTGAGAAATAAATTTTAACAAATAACAAATATATATTAAACAATTATGGCCGACATTTATTGTAAAAAAAAATATTTTTTCAAATATATTGCTCTTACATATTGATATTTAAAAAAACCAAAAAAAATTTTTTCTTGTGAACCATTTAAGGAAATATTGCATACTCTAATGGCAATAACCCTAATTCATTGTAGTTATAAAATCACACCATTAATTTAAAGTTTGTTGAACCCTTTTCTAAATGTTTCGTATTAAAATTTATTTGCCAGCTTTCCATGTGGAAAGTATATACCAGACTAACATCTATGCTTTCTATGTGAGGAAAGTATAAGCAATACTACATCTATGAGAAGTACATATATATATAATATGATTTGGCTTTTTTTGCTTCCCATTTAGCGGCTTCCCAATCCTCCTCGTCAATCAAAGTAATGATTTCGTTCACCTGATTCTTGTAGGTAACGCGATTAGGGTTTACTTCCACTTTATAACGTGTCTGAACATTATTAAGAATTTCCTCAAATGTGATATCATCCGGAACTTGCAGCGCGTATGTTTTCGTCAAAAAAGAACAGGTTACATGAAGCTATTTCGTTTTAATTTAGGAATTCGTATTAGTGCCTTATTTATCACACATCCTTTGGAAAAAAAAAGAAGGTAAATCGCAATACCTCTTTCTCATTTGGAGCTCTGTAGGAGTCATTCTCATTCTGAGAAAAATTGTTGTTTATACCCAGTTCTTTTATCTTATTTTGCTATTAATGTCAATTAAAAACATAAGGAAAATTATCACGTAAAGGGAAAATATGCGAATAGGCTTACCGGATCAAACCTCAATCTTTTTATTCCTTCCCCAAAAAAAATCAATGTATTGTTGTCCACCCATTCAGCAGGCACAAATAGTATTGTTTGTGCGCCGTCAAGTTTTCCACGAGATGGATCAAGTGAAATCTGTTCTCGCTGATTCAATGGACCTTGTTGGTATCTGAAATACTAAAATTAACGGTCTATTTCAATATGGTTTGTAATTTTCTTTTGAATTAGGGCAACAATACTCTAAAAATTTAATTCTACCCACGAATTTCTCAAAATTTTTTTTAAATTCCACCGTGATGTCCCTATCATTTGACACTCTAAATTTCATAATTTGATCTAATGGAATAACCACCTCCTCAATTGCATTATTCAAACTAATACATATTTCACTGGTGATGAAACGTAAGACCAATGAAAGTTTTTGATAATTGGCAGCAAGTATTCGACTACCATTCTCTTTTATCTCCAATTTGCAAAGGTCAATTTTGATGAATTGCTGATGCCAAAACTGTGGTTGGGAAGAGTCTAGTGAATTTGAAGTGAGTTACAAAAGGCATTAATTATCGTTCTACTTCATTTAATCGTGATGAAAATCGATCGCACTAAGATATTAATAAATTAATAACGAAAAGTAATATACCACAACTCCTTGCACTTCCCAAATTCCAATCAATGTTAACATCCTGGTCGTAATCATCATCATTCATCGTTATAAAAATTTAATGAATTTGCAATTCTTTGACAGATTGTTTGAATAGCAACGGTACTAGCAATTCATTGGTGTTATCAACGAAAGTTAGTGGCAAATCTTAAATATTTCTTTCGAATTTTTTATTCCATAAAATCGAATGAGCTGTTGTGTAATAGCATAAACGCATGATAGATCATTAAATCGGAGAACATTCTAGCAATAAACTAGTTTGAATAAGGGAAGTAAAAAAAAATAAATAATTTAATTATGACATATTAAAAACCGGTTACAGTTTAATAATCACATATTAAGTAAAAACGGATCATTAATAACAAAGAAACAGGATTACCTTGAGCTTAAATATTATATTGATTATTGAAAAATGTGAAAAAGGCAAAATAAATTTATAAATAATCAAAAAATTATTAAATAAAAATATTAATCATAAAAATCTTTGTTTACAGTATGTTATATATTTATCTATTTAATAGAAATAAAAATAATGAAAAAGAAAAAATTTAAATATATACTGTAAGTGGTTTGAAAAAAAAATTAAAAAATTATAATTTTTATTATAATTTAAAATTTATTTATTTAAAAAAATATATAAACAAATAATAAAAATATTTTAACATTATAAATAATTTTTAATTAAAATTTTTATATCTATTTAATATTAACTTGATTTTTTTTTAATTTTATATATAAAATTGTATACAAATTACAAGTTACATATTTTTTTATGATAAATTATATATAAAAACATATTTAAACAAACAATCAAATTTATAAATATTAGTTTATTATATATTTGATATAATATAAAATTTTCAAATTAAAATAATAATATAAAATAATAATAATAATATAAATTATGAAATATTCTTAAATAAAAATTAATTTTTACATATTTTATTTAAGTCTTTATATTTAAAATTGATTTAATTTAAATAAATTTTTTTAGACTTTAATATATTAAAAAAATAATAAGTTTTAATAAATATATAAATATAAATATTTTTTAATCCACAATTATGCTATAATGGCTTGTCTTTATTGAAAAATTAAAATAAATTTATAATAATTTATAGACTTTCACAAAGTAACTAATTCATCTTTATATATAAGTACTCAAAGTTAGATTTTGGGAACTATATTATATTTCTGTAATAGAATAGTAATGTTTTTTATCTATCAGGATCATTGTTAATAGTTTGTTACTGTTAATTGCTCCAAAATCAATTAATTGTTAGATTAAAAAAGAAATGGAGAAAAATAATTGG